GGTGTTCGCATGAGCGCAAGATGTAATATGTAAGGGCTACGGGTATTTACCTCGTGTTTACACAGAAAAAATAAATTCCCTTTGCAAACAAAAAAGATTTAAAATGACTTCCCTTCAACCATTTATACGAAGTCCAAAATTACATTTTGCCGAGCATATATTTTCGACTAATCTATAATGAGTATAATAAACCAACATTGCAACATACAATTAAATTTCCAGTCAGTATTCGGGATTTCGACTAGGAGGGGACAGGTCTTAATTCATATAAACACCCCATCGGAATTGAGATTTGTGCTTGCCATCTTTCGCATAATTTCAAACATAATTACCAGTCATACTAAATATAACTATACAATATCGCTGTATATACAGTTACAAATATTATTGGAATATTTGTAATATATGCTGAAGAGAGACGATGTCGGATGACGATGACACAGCTACAAAAAATGCAGAAATGGAGATTTGACATAGACTCTGTAATTATAAACAGTTCCTTTTCCTTTCGTATTAACTTAATCTTTAATAATCTTTAATCTTAATCGCATTAATCTTAATCTTATTTTACCCTTTATTTGGTACAGCTTTTGATTTGTAATAACATTAATTTTTACATGCAGAAAAAATTTTCTATGCATGGCAAGTTCTATGTTCAAGTTCTCGGTCTATACAGGCAAGTTTTGCCACCCCAGTGTCCCCCATTATATTCTGTTACACCGGGCAAGCTTGAAAAATATGCCTGACCACGGTGGGAATCGAACCTACGACCTTTGGAATACTAGCCCACACTAAGAGTAACATTACAAACATATATTCACCTGAGTACATTACACCAACACAGAAAATTCAATATATAGTTAATGCATGCTTTAAATAAATGTGATTGTATGATTCGTGGTCACATCAATTTAGATAAATGCAATGTACCCCGCTGAGCAACAAGTGAAAAATGAATGTGTTATACAGTTTACGAAAAGAACCTGACAGGGAAGAAAAAACTAAGGGGAAAACAAGTTGTTTTGGGAGCAGACATAATTGTATACTGCATGTTTTCTTGCACTTCCAGTTCCGTGTATAGGACCGAGAGGACCTGGGGATGAAGATGGTATTAAATGAACTTAAAAAAGTCGTCAGTGTCGTGTATTTGAGCAAATGTTTGGAGCAAATTTGGTCATCATAATGAATTTCTCAAACTAGGAATAAAATAGACTGCCCACTCCTGCCCCTCCTAATCCACTGTTTCAACTCGCTGGATACTCATCCTAGGCAAGTCTTAAAAATGTTATTTTTGTAGGTATATGGTGGAAATGTGACACAGTTGAACCTGGCAGTGGACAGGATCGCATCTGCTCATAGGATGTTGAAGATTGCCAACATATCTGATGCTGAATGTGAAAAGAATGTTGCTGACACAGTGTGTAAAGTTTCAATTCCTGCTTGTTCCAAAGATCAGACCAAGGTCGTATCCTTCCTCAGCAAGCAAGATTGTCATGAGATCATGGGATGGTGAGTATTATATGAAATACATACTGATATGCACAAAATAGAGCTAGACTAGGATTTACTATCACAAGGAAAGTGCTCTCTCGGCATTCTTACTAGATCAACTGCGAAAAAGACATTGGGTTTTTATTGCGTGTTGTATATATTCCCAAAGATGTCGTCAAGGCCGGAGTACGTACTGCTTTCTCCTCAAATAGGGAGCTTTAGATTTGACTACGAGTACGACTACGAGTACGACATTTGATCGCGTGCGAGGAAATTACCGTAGTCGTTTTCGTTTCCATTCAAATGTTGCTTTTATAACAGTGAACCAATAACTAGAGAAAAAGTTTCATAAACTAAATCTCCTGCCGACTAAAATCCCCTACAAAACGTGTAAATAAGTCATAACATTAAAAACAGGCCAGATATTTAGGACTAATATATTATTTGCGCCGGATAAACGCTATATAAATGCTACAAATTATTTTTGGAAAACAAAAAAAAAGCCAACTTTCTTTGTTTTTTTGAAAAGTCGTCGTGAGGACTACGAGGTTTCTCCACAATTTCGTACTCAGATGGGCGACGGCTACGACTTTTTAGCGTCAGTACGGGATGGCGTAAGCATACAGCATGCGTTTAGCTTGACGAATCTCGTACTCGTAGTCGTACTCGTAGTCAAATCTAAAGCTCCCTAATATCACTGGTGTTCAGCTACATTTCACATGTATTGCTCTTCAAAGAATCTAATTTAGTCCAGAGAGATCAGATAGCGAGATAATGCGACCGAATGTAAAAAGAAAACGCGAATGTGAAAATAGATTGTTGTGAGATCATGGTTTGTCGTGAGATCATCGATTGTTGTGAGATCATCATCGATGATTGTATTTTAATTGGAAAATTTTTACTATTATTTTGTGCTTCTCAACCGGCAGATGCATTTAAAAAGTCGCTATAACTGCACGAACTTTATTAAACTAGAAAATAAATATAGAGAAAAAGCAATTTTGTGGGGTTTTCATCGCAAATACGTGACAAAAAATCATTTTAACTTGCTAATTTCCTTTCTTCCAAACGTTATAGTGTCAACAAAACAAATGATACCAACTTGATACAGGGAGCCCACGGTTTATGTGACAGCTTGCCAGATGGTACAACAGCAAAGAAATATTCCCTGGATAATGTCTACGACAATAAAGCAGCTGTTTACGCCATGGCATTCAGCACAATTTTGTTCATTGCCATTCTTGTCGCTCAAAGTTTCTTCTAGGCATATGTTAACAGTATGTTATTTGGTTTATAGATGATATTTGGTTTATAGATGTTACTTGGTTTATAGATGTTATTTGGTTTATAGATGTTATTTGGTTTGTAGATATTAGGTTGATGGAAACGGTATGGATTATACAGTATGCCCCGAAAAAACGCGATAGCTGTGCCTATGTTCCAGATTTTCACAACTAATTATTAGTGGGCATCGAAAACTTAATCTAAGAGATGTATTTTGACATGCACTAAAATTAAAGTTGGTCTAGTGGAACCAATGTTATGCCGTTGTTTTTAAATAAAGTATTGTTATTACCCATGCAGTGGACCATTTAAATCATGCATAAAACCGGTTTTCCACTAGAATTTTTTCGCGCGAAGCGAATTTTTGTTAAAATTGAAAAGAATTTATTAAAAATCTAATTAGTTCCAGGCTAGCGCTTACAAGACAAAAGATTCGGCTTAAAGCCGGTTTTCCGGTCCACTAGCGATTTTTTTCGCGCGAGGCGAATTTATTCCTTTGTCTTTGGGCAATTTGTTCCAGATGGTTGCAGCTGAGAGCTTAAAACAATAGCAAAATGTCGCTTCGCGCGAAAATAATCGCTAGTGGAAAACCGGCTTAAGGCCTGTTTTATACGGCGAATTTCGATCGCGTCGAATGCAATTCAAACAATAGATGAAGCTTAATGAGATTTATCATCTCATTATCTATTGTCTTAATTGCATTCGACGCGACCAAAATTCCACGTATTTAACAGGCCTTAATTATAGTCGTGTTATGTATCAACAGGTTTGATGATCCCTTACTTTGGATATTCCTAAATAACTTTGCTTCTATAGACTAGACCAATTTTAATAATCTGAGTGTTTAAAAATGATCTCTTGGATTACATTTTCGGTGTATTACATTCTCTTGAATTACATAATAATTAACTGTGTGAAAACCTGGAACAGAATTATTGTGGGGTTTTTTTCAGGACACCCTGTATGCACATAAGAAATCGACATTTTTGATAAAAAGTTGCAGCAGCTAAACTGAAACCAAAAGCTGGCATGACTGAATACCTTTGGAACAAGGTTCTTAACAAGGAAAGTGTGTCAATTTTTTTGCCGTACACACGAAAAGGAAAGTTGTCTGTAAAGGAAAACTTGTTAAGGCAAAAATTGCCCGTCTGTATATGGGCCTTAATACATGAAATTATCAATTTCTAAATAACTGATCAAATGAACTGGGTTCGTGTAAGCAAATGAATTGGTAGAATAATTTAGGAACACTTCCATTGCCACGACCGTAAACAGTTTTCCAAACAAGGTTTTCTTATACTCTCGCATGATTTTAGGCATTTCCAACATCTAACATTTAGCTGCTTCCCCTATGAAAAACGTCACATCGAAATAAAGTTTTAGCGTTATGGAATATATTTTGCATTCACTTGTTTTGTTAAATTGAACTTTGTTTTGTTTTGTCAAGTCAAATTTTGTTTTGTTAAAGTCAACGTCAGATTATAAAGTAGAAGTTGTAGATCATTTGCATGGATTAATATTGGATTAGTTGCATGTGCATGATAGGTAATGGTTGTTGTGTTATATTTATGCTACAAGGTACAACAGTAGCAATGTTCCAATTTTGTTATGAGAAAGCATTAGGGGCGGACCATTTGATTTTCGAGGGGGGAGGTGGAAGATTCAATCTGTGCAAGAATTTTTTTTCCGCCCAGGCGAACGAGACAGATATTTTTTTCCTGTAAAAGTGCAGCGCAAGATATTTTTTCCCAATATATTTGGCCGCAGGATATTTTTTTTGCCTCTCATAATAACTTTAGGCTTTCATATAGCTATCATCGGAGACGTAGCAGGGGTTTTCAGTCAGAGGAGGCCGAGAACTGAATCCCAAGAGGGGCCAAGGAATTTTCACTGTGCTTTATTTTATATATGGTTATGTCTTAATGTTCCCCACACTAAAGCGTGCAAGTTTACTTACAAAGAATGTATAACTGCACCAAAACCTAAAACATGCAGGGATAGAGTAGAGTGCTCGAAAATGGGGGAGGGTACAGTATATGAATGACCTGTAACCTTGGGGGGTTCGGGGGCATGCTCCCCCGAGAAAATTTTAAAATTTGAACCTCGGAAATGCTATTTCCTGCGTTTTCAGCCATGGATAATTATCTTAAGCCCAGATTTTCTCAGGGGGGGGGGAACAATTTTGCCAGGGAACACCACTGGCTATCGTATGTCAGAGGCTCCAAAGGCGGTAGAATCCCTGTGATGTTATCCACTGTTCACCCCGTGTTCTTTTAAGCAAATGTGCCTGCTCAAAAATGCAAAATCTTGCAAGCCTGTGGACACAATACTGAAGTGAAGAGCATCAGTAGAGTTACATGTAGAAAATTTTTTTTTGAGCGCTCTCTTTTGCATGATATTTTTTTTTCTCGATTGTGTGCTGCATGATTTTTTTTTTCTTTCTCCTTGGGTTGCAGGAAATTTTTTTTCGAAATCTTCCACCCCCCCCTCAAAAGTCAAATGGTCCGCCCCTTACATATTACATATAAGCCAACATCTTGTTCACATTTTTTTTCTTACATTCGCACAGCGCGTAATTTCGAGCTAATCCCCAACTAAAGAACATTTATAATACAAGCAAAATTACATCTGCCAGGTAAACTGCAAGCGGTCCCTCCTTTCCGCAAGTTTAGATTCCCGAGCGTGCGAGAGAAAAGGAGGGACCGCGCCCTTTGCATAACCATGGGTTAGTGGACTATTTAATTATTTTTTATTATGCCGAATATTGGGGGGGGGGGGGTTGAAAATTTTTTTGGAGGTGTGGACATTCTGTATGGGGGGTACCCCCCCCACACAAAATCCGTCTATGCCCCGAATACGTCTACACATACGACTTTTTATGGGCAAATCCGCTTATATGCGGGATGCCAGAAGCGCCAGGACAGTTAGGGTGCCGGAATCATTCCCACTTAAAGACAAAGAAGACCACCTCTTCATTGCACTAAGTCACTGCGGCAAAAACATTACCATAACTTACAACACATTCCGCTTACAGTTGTAATATAAGGACATGCTAGATCACGCGATATTCCCTCCGTCTAGAAGACAAACACACTGGGAACAGAACTGAACAGAGCTAATTGTAAATAGATGTATTGGGCAACACATTTGGTGCTTGTTTGTCTGGTAGTAACGCAAGTTCGATGTGGCAATGATCTATATGGCTTTGTCAGGCGGGAAATAGTAACACCATGCATCTCAAATCCAATCAACGACATCTGTCCCTTAGGTCACAAAGTCCCCAAACGAGTATACAACATTTACCCTGGAATAAGTGCGAGTGTACGTAGAATTTCAGATATACCAAATACTTCAGGAATACAATTTCATCCCGGGGGTGGGAAATTTTGCCCAGGAATTTTCTCCCGAGGGAGTGGCATTTGACATTTTTTTTGTAAAAATGTCAAATCCCAAATCCCCCCCTTGCCCGACCTCCCCCCCCCCCTCGGGGTTAACATTGATAGGTGCATAATAATTTAATCCTTGTAAATACAAGGTATAATTAAGGACTCCTTTTTCATGTATCTTTTTAAAATCAAGTAATATAAAAAATAATAATGAGCGTAGGAAAACACGTTTATAGTGATACAAAAATGATCATGTGATTAAAATTAACCACGCAATCAGATATGTATAATCAAAGACACCTTACATCTAAATCTTGCCTTTTTTTCATGTAGTGAGTGGATCGGCAAATGCCCTTAAACCATCACTCGTTCAAGATCAAAACAATCTTAAAAGTCTTTTAAGGGAGAAGAATGTGGGAGGAAATTGCTCGAATGAAGTCTTAGAGTATTTTGTGAGTACAGTGCCCCGGCTTGCACAAGAGACGAACAATATGAACTTGCACTTCTCAGTAAACAGAAGTGTCTTAAGATCTTGAAATGGTAAGCAAATATAGGAGCTAATGTCTTTGTAAAAATATATTGCTTATATACAATGCGATAAGCACTCCCAAAAACACTCTGGTTAAAATTTTCTGGTTAGGGACTGGTCATAATTTAGAAGGAAGGGTTGGGAGGTGGAAACAGTGGGGGGGTCACATATTTTTTAGCCAGGAAAAAGGGGGGGATTCATAAAATATTAGACAGTTTAGGAAGGCGGGGAGGGGGTCTGCTGTTTTAGTTCAATTAATTGTTTTATACATGCCTTCTCACACTTTGTTTGAGTTGCATTGAAAAAAATTGATTCTTTAAACTTAGAATGAAAAATTTTATATATGACTATGTATTGGAATAATATAAATTTTAGTATTTGATTTGAAGCGCAACTAGAAAATTAGAAAATTTAAAGTGCAATTAGTAAATTTATTGAATGCAGGGTTTAGTAGTAGGTAGGTACATTTTTACTGACACGAGCAAGAGAGAGGGGGGAGGCATTATTTTTCTGGGTTATGGCAAAGCAGGGTCACAAAATATCATTCCTTTCAAGTACACCTCCCTGATAAATTATGACCAGTCCCTTACAGAAATTACTCCATTTGGGTTAGGCTAACATGGAACTGGTGATGTATTCCCGAAATTTCAGAACATTCTGCATCTGTTAAAAAACCCTGCTGTAAAAGTTCACTTTCTTCAGGCATTCCACAAACATACAGAAGAATCTAAATGATATGATTGTCCAGGAGAAAGCAAGCGCATAAAGAAGGCTCAAGCATATGCTCAAGTGATTACCGGCGATTAGCACCTGGGAAAATCACCCGCTCCTTTTTTTAATTACCCGCTTCTTTTACCCGCGACCCGCTTTACCTTGCCTTTTTACCCGCGCTCCCCGCTCCAAATAGCTAGATACTCAACCTCGCAAGTAACCTGAAGTTCAGGCCCTAATTTGAAATAGGGCCTGACACAAAACCTGTCTAGACCGCGGGACGCCCACATGTTATTTTTAGACACAACATGCAATATGATTGACAAGTATTGTAGATTTCGTTACACAAAAAATTTATATTCTCATGAACATGTCCGCAGAGTGTGCATTTTGCTTTTTAATTTAATTAAACTTAAAAATTCAAGGTACTTTTATATAATTAAGAGTCTATTTAACCGAACAGCAAACAGATATTTAATTAGTCAGTTCTGTGCACGGCTTGACTACCAAGCTTTCTCAAGGTCTCAACTTGCTGGACGCGGATATACTCTAACGACTAACGGGCTAACAACAGAAAATACTGTTTGTTTGATTTATTTTCTGCCATAAAGCATATAAAAGAAAAGAAATTCGAAGAAATCGATAATGGAATTTGTTACGTGCGTTTGACCTTTATATTAATTGTCGTCTTGAGCCCTTGACATAGACCGAGCTATTTTTAAAACTGTTGTTTATGTGAACTTGCAACCAATCAAAATCCTTCATGATGTTGATCAACCAATCAAATTTCCCGTCCACCAGATGGATGGGAATCCCACAATTTAGATAGGTTTTGTGTCAGGCCCTATCTGTGATTAGGGCCTGAACTTCAGGTTACCTCGCAAGCCAGGCTCTCTACTTCCGCTTCCTTCCCTAACACGCTCCAGCAGAGACCCTGGTTCAGGCTGGTTACGTGACACCTCAGAATCTTGGGTGTTTTCAATTAGCGCCCTGTATGTTACTAGATAGATAGATCAACTTTATTTAGGCACACTAATCTCATTCAACATTGTGCTGATTTCCATGAGAGGTGTGCTGGCTTACTGTTACAATTTTAAGACTAATTTACTAATACATACAAACTATTATTATATAAATATGCTATTAAATATTCACTTAACTAAACTACTTAACTTAATAATTGGGAGGCCGAGGGCGAGGAAAAAAGGTTTTTACAAAACGAGTTGTAAGATATCGAATTTCGAAAATTTTCTGGTATTCCACTCCATAATTTAGTCCCACTGTAACTGAAACCTTTTTTAAAAATTATGTACTGGGCCTTGGAATAAAAAGCCCAGTTGAAGAACCTCTTAGATTACAACTATTAACAGTGTTGGAAAATGTTGCACAGTTTTTGTGGAGCTAATTGATCTATGATCTTTTGTACATGAGTTTGGCCTTCATTAATGCTCTACGTTCTTCAAGAGATGTCCAACCGAGAGCAGTACGAGCTAAGATAGACTGTTCATGCTCATTTTTAAAATTCATAATTAATCTCGCCGCTCGATTTTGCAATGTTGAAGACGTTCGCCGAGGCCTTTGCCAAGCTCATCCCAAACCTCACAACAGTAATCAAAATGCGGCTGGATCAATGCATTGTACACCAGCACAAATGTATCTCGGTCTACAAATTATTTTAAGTTTTTTTGACGCAGCAATCCCCGAAGATACTTTACTAGCGATATGTTCAATATGTTTTTCCCAGTTTAGGTTCTCATCGATTTCAACTCCTAGCACTTTTGCGCATGTTGCTCTTTTGATTGGACTGACATGTGTCGACCTTAACTGTGGGTTGGACATCCATGCTATTAATCTTAGGGCGTGATCCAATCAAAATATATTCCGTTTTCGCAATATTTAAGCTAAGTTTGTTTGAAGACAATCACACTTTAACATTTTTCAAGTCCTTATTCCCATTTAATGTTTCGCCCACAGCTGTAAGGCTGGTATCATCTGCAAACATCCTTGGTGTTGTATGTTTGAGACAATTTGGCAAATCATTTATATAGATAATAAACAGAAAAGGGCCAAGTATACTTCCCTGAGGGATGCCGCACGTTATTCCTCTCTGATCTGAAAGCAATTCATTTAGCTGACATCTCTGTGTTCGATTTGTTAAGTAATTACTTAGCGGTAAATCTAGGGCTTTATTACCAAAGCCATACCGTTCGAACTTACGTAAAATAATTTCATGGCTGACAGTATCGAATGCTTTCTTTAAATCAAGAAGAACAACTATATAATAGTTTGTTTGTGGAAACACCACGTGAATTTATTACTGCAAAGCCTTCGATCCGTAAAGCCCGGATCTTCATCAGTGCTAATAATATGCGCTTGTTTAATCGAAAGCTTTGCAGTAATAAATTTACGTGGTGTTTCCACAAACAAACTATTATATGTTTTATCGCCATGCAAACATACAAAGAACTTAAGAACAACTATGTTGTATAGGCCACGGTCCATGTTAATATACCATTCATTAGTACAATCCAAAAGTGTGGTAGTAGTCAGGGAGGAGTGGCTGAGTAAATCATTGTTCACAGTAAATGCATTCTGAACGGATCGTATAAATGCGATATACTGTATAAAGGAAAAGCCAAACTGCCAAAGATACTCCAAAACAAAGGCAATAAATCAGGCGATTTCCGTATGCGAACCACTGACTCTGTGCCACTGATGTGAACCGCGATTCAGTTCCTCGCGGCCGGTTCCTCGCGGCCGGTTGTTCGCAGAAGACATTTTAAAGATATCTACATAGTTCTGTATTTCAAGCCTAAGATGGCTAAGAACACTCAGATGTTTCACAATTAGAGGACTACAATTACAATTAGAAAGGAAATATAACTGCAACTGTTTTTTTAGACAATCGGCCAACGGCAACGCTTGTTTACAATTCCCTATTCTTCAAAATGACCCACATTCCATGGACACAAATCCAAAGGTAACTAAAATTTATAGCCTGCTAACAGAATTATGTAAAATAAGTATTACTTCATGTCGATAATTCCAAGGCTTTGTAAGCCTTTGTTGTACTATACTATGCTATGGCTATGTTGTTTTGTACTAAATGAACTTGTCGACTCGCAATTTTATAAACAAGCGTCAGCCAAATCTATTTCCAAACAATATGTATACTCATACTGAACGTATGAAGGCTATTAACTTGGACCATCACGAATGTAAATGATCAGTAAAGTATAGTAAAATATAATATGATTAATTTGCTTTGGCATAGCTGTACAGTATATGCTGGTTTTCCCGTGTTTACTTAGCCTGCGTAGCAGTCGCTTTATTTTATTGTAGGTTTTGAGGATTTTTGAATAAATGGCGGGTTAAAGTTTACTCAGCTGGATGTCAGTTAGGATATTGTTTTGCAACACCTTCTTTTATATATTCAGATTTCAGCTGCTGTTCACTTTAATACACAGAGCCATGCAGTCAGCCAGAGATATAAAGTGTCGTACCATTTTAACTCATTAGAATTGTTAGGAATATATAATTTTTTTCCGTTTTTCTACGCGAGGTAGGGAATCGTTTACAATCAATCTCTAGTAACTATCAGTTTTTAGTGTTCGTCTTCTTGCAGTAGTTTTTCAAGAGTTCACTTCAGCCTTCAACTGGCTTTCACTGTTCGTGATCTGTTCGTTAATTTCTTCGTTTTGTCTTGTTTCGTTTGAGCTTCAGTAGCTTTTTCATCATTTAAGCTTTATTCAGCGTACGTCCACTGACGAATTTGGGTTGTGCGCGCCCTTTTATACTAACGGTTGAGGGATCTTTCTACACGTGATGTAGCAAGTGGTGTGATTTTAGGGGCAACGGTGGCCAAGTGGTTAGCGCACTTGCCTTTCACCTCTGAGGCTGCAGGTTCGAGTCTCACTAAGTACCTTCTCAGTGCGACTCGAACCCAGTCCCCATGTGAAAAGAGTAAAAGTCAACGCTCTGCCGAAAGCCGTGGGTTTTCCCCGGGTACTCCGGTTTCCTCCCACAGGGAAAGTTGACAGGGTGGGTTAGGTAAAAAAAAAAGGGCCCACAGTAATTGGCATATGCTGTTGTGGTGACCCTGCCCTAGTTGGCAAAGCTAAATAAATAAAATTATTTGTATCCAGCCAATCAACGTTGAGGTTTAAAGGTGTGGGTTGGCGTTGCTAGCTCGTTCCAGCTCTCACATTCTGTTTATTTAAGGCGTTGTCGCACTGGTCGAGTTGGTTCGCTGTTCAATCGATCATCATTACAACATGTTCACAACTTAAAATACTCATCAAAATATCATAGTAAAAACTTCAACCTATACCTATGTGAACCTTACTTTACCTACTAACCTAAATTTACTTACAATTTTATTGAACCAAGATTTTGATGACGTAATGTTATCATTACTCAACCGCGCGAAATATACCGAAGAATGATTGACAGAAAGGCCCTAAGCATGCACATTTTCATGTCAGAGAAGAACCAGCCTTGGACTTTGAATTATGTAAACACAACAGCCCACCATGCAAGGTTATCGTCCAACTTTGACAGTTTGACAAATCATTTATCTTGCCTAATGGACAGATAATTGACACTGTTACGCAAGTCCGAAATGATATATACTTTATCTGAGTTCTGTTTCGTCATTGGTCTTGGTCGCTACGGAGTCATATGACGTAATATGAGAAAGCGCGCGAATTTTGATAGACCTATGAAGTTGTCCAAAACATCATGTGCTGATTTACACTGGTGGATTAATTCAGCTGACAGTTTATTTAAACCTATTGCCCTCAACCAACCAGATGCTACTTTATTCACTGATGCATCCAGTCAAGGTTGGGGTGGGGTTTTAGGTCAACAAAAAAGTGGGGGTCATTGGACTGCACTTGAAGCCAGTCACCACATAAATTATTTGGAAACGCTTGCCGTTTTCTTTGCCCTTAAAGTATTCCAAACAAAACTGTCGGGAAAACATGTAGATAACATGACTGCTGTAGCAGACATAGGTAAACTGGGTACTAGTCATTCTCGCAAACGCAACACTTTAGTTCGCGAGATTTGGGATTGGTGTATTCAGCATGATATATTTCTAACTACAGCACACTAGTATACCAGGCCTTGAGAATGAGGCAGCAGATGCAGAATCTAGAAAGCCCTTGAAAGAAACTGAATGGGCTTTAGATCGAGAAATCTATCAACAGGGTATCCAACTGTTGAATATGACTCCCGTTATTGACCTATTTGCTTCTCGACTTAATTATAAAGTTAAACCTTTTATTGCATACCAACCAGACCCTGAAGCTCAAGCTGTTAATGCATTTACAATTTGCTGGAAACCATATTTATTTTATGCCTTTCCTCCATTTAGCATAATCCCTTTAGTACTACAGAAAATTCGAGAAGAGGAGAGCACAGGGTTGGTTGTTGTTCCAAAATGGCCTGCACAGCCTTGGTGGCCATACCTAATGCGGATGGTAATTCAGGTTCCAGTAATTCTCCCCAACAAGGAGAACACTATATACATGCCCAGCAAACCAGACCTGATCCATCCTCTATACCCCAAGTTAACGTTACTGATGTGCCACATTTCCGGGGATCCTTTGAAAATAAAGGACTTTCAGAGGGGGCTTTGTCTATCATCTTGTCCTCGTGGAGGAAAAGCACACAAAGACAGTATATACCATACCTCAACAAATGGCGTCGGTACTGTCGTTCAAGGGAACTGGATTCCTTTTCAGCAACTGGAAGAAGGAGTGAACTTTTTAGCTGTGCTCTACGATGAAGGAATTGGTTATAGTGTGTTAAATACGGCCCGAAGTGCCTTATCAACTGTCGTCACACTCCCAAACAATCAGACATTTGGAACCCAGCCACTAGTAGTAACTCGTTTTATGAAAGGCGTTTTTGAGACAAGACCTTCATTACCCCGTTATTCTGAAACTTGGGATGTTAATGTTGTGTTGGATTATTTAGCTGGTAATGTTAGCTCTATTAACCGGCCAACGTCGCCAAACTTTACATGCATTGAATATTACTACCATGGATTTAAATCGGGAAAAGTGTATCTTTATTATTACGTCGTTACTCAAAACTTCTCGTCCTGGTAAACACTTAACGTCGATTGAAGTTCAGTCATACAAGCTTGACAGGAAACTATGCCCGGTTGCACACATAGAAGAGTATGTCAAACGAACGACTGATTTGCGAGGCAATCAGCATAGACTTTTTATCAGTCACCAAAAACCCCATAAAGAAGTTTCAGGAGATACTGTTAGTCGTTGGCTCAAAAACACCTTGGACCTAGCAGGTATAAATACTGCAAAATTCGGAGCTCACAGTACTCGGGCAGCCACAACATCGGCAGCAAAGGCTATGAACATGCCTATTGACATTATCATGCAGAGTGCAGGATGGACACAATAATCGACCTTTGGGAAATACTACCACATTGTAGCACGAGGAATTTTGGTAACATTTTGTTAAGTAATAAAGGCAAATAAACAATTGCCTAAGTGTATCATGGGCATAGGTTAATGTTTGTTTAATGCATCAACGAAAACTGGTGTCCTATGTTTCACTTATTGTGTGACTCGTCGGTTAGCGAAGAAATTATATAGTCCTTGACTTTTATGCCGTTAATGGCTACAGGTGCTCAAAGTTCAATAGAGATAACGATTTTCAAAAAATGCCATTTCTTCCATTTGACAAACTGATCCCAACCCAAAAACCTGACCTTTTATATATATTTATATATATTTTATATATTTTATATTAATATATGATATATAAATATTTATATATATTTATTTATATATATATTATATATTAGTATTTAATGCATCGCGAAACCACTACGTCGTTTCACCGTATAGAATCATCTGTGTCAACAGCTGTTGATCATCCGTATATGGACCACCTGATATATTCCATACATGCAGACATATGGCTTTAAAATGTAAATATTACGCTTAATAATTCACTGTTTGTTTTCGTAAACCAAAATCTTAAAGTAAGAAAAAGTCCAATGAAGAATATTGTTGTTTAGTTACTAAGTATAATCCGCGTGGACCAGACATACGAAAAATCATAAATAAACATCACAAGTCCATTATCTGTGGTGATGAGAAGGCCAGAGATATTCTACCCGAGAAGGTTATTCGTGTGTCTTTTAAGCGCAACGCCAATCTAAAGGAGTTATTGGCTCCCTCCAACCCATATGGCAAGGAAAATACTGAAGTAGAACAATTCGGTTGTTTTAATTGTACAGCAAAGCGTTGTGACTGCTGTAAGAATTTTTTGTTAGAAGGGCACACTTTTCGTTCCGTTATTACCAAGAAAGTTTTTAAAATCTGTGAATCGCTTACATGTACGTCCAAGGCAGTGGTATATCTTGCCCAATGTTTGGCTTGTGGTTTGCAGGGTGTTGGTTCTCCTGTTAATTTTAAGGCCCGCCTTGCAAACTACAAGTCACACATTAAGCGTGGGCACAGAACTTGTAGTATTGTTAATCACTTCCTGGATTGCCACGGGGCTGATCATTCATATTTGAAATTTATGCTGATTGATCAGCGTTGTGGTAATCTGTTGGAATGTGAAAACTTCTGGATTGGGACCCTTTTGACTAATCGGGGAGGGTTAAATGATAGTCACGATTTTGTGCAACAGTGACTTCTTTGTCTATCACTAAGCTTAATTAGTTATCATTATTGTAATATTTGCATATTATTGGAGTATATATATACGTTAGAAATTATTAGTAATATTATTTCTGAGGAAGGCTGAGACATTCAGTCGAAAATTAAAACTTTATTACTTTAGTACATTTTTAGTATTTGTTTCTCTCGGATCGTAGCCAGCTATTCTGTTGCATATAAATGTCGAACTGGCTGATACGAATATTGTATTTTGTCATATATATATATATATATATATATATATATATATATATATATATATATATATATATATATATATATATATATATATATATATATATATATATATATATATATATACTTATATATATATATATATATATATATATATATATATATATATATATACGCGACGATATTTGGCTTGCCGCACAAATTCCCACCCAAGTTGCCTTGCTATGTCTTCCCGGTTGTCAAAAATGACCCTTATTCGTGCGAGGATAACTACAAGGTGGGTTAAAATGGTTTTCATAAGATTCGCCAGACAATACAAACATACCTTTGTAACATAATGACAAGTATAAGGAATAAAATCACATTGTTTTTATCATATACTCAGTCTCGAGTAATGTAATGACTCATATCTGAGTATATGATTTTATCATATACTCTGCAGTCTCGGGCCTGTATGGCTATGTTTACACTGTACCAGATAATTTTCTTAGCGACATGAAAAACATCTATCCGTGCCTTTTAAGAAATTTTTCAAGCCTGCCCGGTGTGGATATACACTCAGAGTAACATCACACAAACATCTTATTCACCTGAGTACATTACACCAACACAGCAGATTTCATTTTAAGCTTTCACTGTTTATATACTATCCGCAAAATATTAATAGAACATTACATAAACGCTATTTTTAGATATTACGTATAAGATAAATATAGCAAAAACATGAGTTAGCATAATTACGCAATGTCTTAAATTGAGAATGTCATGACGTGACTGGCTTCACGTCACACTCCCCCTCTTGAAAAAAAAAAGTTTTTAGAACTTTCGTTAACTGTTCGTAACCTCCATATATCCATATCAAATAATTGTTCTTTAAATGTTATAATTATATACTTTAAAATACTCTATAAAGAATGAAAATTGAGAAAACTCAATACAGCAAGAATAGCGTCCTTAAACTCTAGCAACAGTATAACAGAATAGGGAAGATTCAACAACAGAAGAACGACATCTTCTAAATAAATTACAAACTCCCTTTTTAATCTTAAATTTAAACAAATTTTATACTTCAATAATAATTATTACTTTAACTTACGGGAGATTTATCAAACTATTACAACTTTGTAACAAAACAGGGCAACAAACCACTGTAACAAACCAGTAACAAACCACTAACATGTGGTCAATAATCACAAATCTTTCCCCCACTGTTAGGCATCACTGAGTAGACGTTAGGCACGATCTTAGCAGAAACCTTTTCATGAAGACGTAGTGAACCTCCAGCGTAGCACTCTTGTACTTCAGCCTCTGGCTAAGTCGACAATTTTGATCGTGAACTGCATGACGTCAAAACTGGAAACAGGTCCATCAATAATATAACACCAAAAGGACAATCATCAGACTGACAACAAAACAACCGCTCTCATCCAAGAGAGTGGTTTCCCGCCTGAGCCCCAATTGTTACGTTCGCGGGCGAGAACGAACAAAAAAGTGTGTCTGTATCTTCATCTTCTTTACGCTCTCTGCCCTCCTTGACCAGACACAGCGACACGCGCTGGCCAAGGAGGCTTTCTCGTATTTGGAATATCCTTCTTCTGAGTCTTATGAACTTTGCAACGACAATAAGCCCAATAATATCAATTTATTCTTCTTTAACAACAACAACAACAACAACAACAACAAATTACTATTTCCAATCCCTTCTAATAATCTTCTATCTATCTCTTAACTTAAGCTTTCACTGTTTATATACTATCCGCAAGATATTAATAGAACATTACATAAACGCTATTTTTAGATATTACGTATAAGATAAATATAGCAAAAACATGAGTTAGCATAATTACGCAATGTCTTAAATTGAGAATGTCATGACGTGACTGGCTTCACGTCACATCGTAATTACTTGCAATTACGCACGCGCGGGCGTCAAAGAGGCAAATGTCCGCCTTGATAGTAATATTTTTTGGCATGGCAACTATCATAACCACAATATACCAAGACGCCGGCTCAGACGTACCCTCCGGCTACGGGCAACTCAACCTGACAAGCCAGGCCCACTGTAACTATGATCATCAACCTGCCTCGTACCCAGGCGCTTTAAATAATTACAATACATGAAGTATTCAGGTAGGCAGGCGACGCGCGAAGGGGCTGTTGGGAAGGGTGCGTGCTGGGCATCTCTCCCAACTACAATACTTCATGTAAACTCGTCATATGCGCATCACTGTTTTTTACAAAGAGACGCCTGGGTACGAGGCAGATCATCAACTATCAACCGTAGATAATGACGGGTCAATAATAGCGAAGAAATTATATAGTCCTTGATTTTTAATGCCGTTATATGGCTAGTTTCAGGTGCTAAAAAGTTCATAGACATAGACGATTCTTCTAAAAAATACGCCAATTTACTTCCATTTATAAGACAAACTGATCCCAACCCAAAGCCCTTCTCTAACCTGTAAATAGGTATTAGGTCATGCGAAATAAAGCTTTATATATATATTTATATATATATATATATATATATATATATATATATATATATATATATATATATATATATATATATATATATATATATATATATATATATATATATATATATATATATATATATAGTTTTTCGTTTTACCTCAAAAAACCACAACAGTCTGTTTCATCCGTATAGGAATCATCAGGTGGTCAACAGTCTGTTGTCATCCGTATAGGGACCACCTGATGATTCCTATACGGATGAAACAGACTGTTGTGGTTTTTTGAGGTAAAACGAAAAACTATATTACGCTCTATCTATATGGTATTGAGCACTGTTTGTGTTTCGTAAACCAAAATCTTAAAGTAAGAAAAAGTCCAATGAAGAATATTGTTGTTTAGTTACTAAGTATAATCCGCGTGGACCAGACATACGAAAAATCATAAATAAACATCACAAGTCCATTATCTGTGGTGATGAGAAGGCCAGAGATATTCTACCCGAGAAGGTTATTCGTGTGTCTTTTAAGCGCAACGCCAATTTAAAGGAGTTATTGGCTCCCTCCAACCCATATGGCAAGGAAAATACTGAAGTAGAACAATTCGGTTGTTTTAATTGTACAGCAAAGCGTTGTGACTGCTGTAAGAATTTTTGTTAGAAGGGCACACTTTTCGTTCCGTTATTACCAAGAAAGTTTTTAAAATCTGTAAATCGCTTACATGTACGTCCAAGGCAGTGGTATATCTTGCCGAATGTTTGGCTTGTGGTTTGCAGGGTGTTGGTTCTACTGTTAATTTTAAGGCCCGCCTTGCAAACTACAAGTCACACATTAAGTGGGCACAGAACTTGTAGTATTGTTAATCACTTCCTGGATTGCCACGGGGCTGATCATTCATATTTGAAATTTATGCTGATTGATCAGCGTTGTGGTAATCTGTTGGAATGTGAAAACTTCTGGATTGGGACCCTTTTGACTAATCGGGGAGGGTTAAATGATAGTCACGATTTTGTGCAACAGTGACTTCTTTGTCTATCACTAAGCTTAATTAGTTATCATTATTGTAATATTTGCATATTATTGGAGTATATATATACGTTAGAAATTATTAGTAATATTATTTCTGAGGAAGGCTGAGACATTCAGTCGAAAATTAAAACTTTATTACTTTAGTACATTTTTAGTATTTGTTTCTCTCGGATCGTAGCCAGCTATTCTGTTGCATATAAATGTCGAACTGGCTGATACGAATATTGTATTTTGTCATATATATATATATATATATATATATATATATATATATATATATATATATATATATATATATATATATATATATATATATATATATATATATATATATATATATATATATATATAACAAGTATATATATATATATATATATATATATATATATATATATATATATATATATATATATATATATATATATATATATATATATATATATATATATATATATATATATATATATATATATATATATATATACAAACTGTATATCGTCATTGAGAATTTATTTTGTGGTTTTAATTTGTACGTGAATTGTTGGGCGAAACAAGGGAGGCAATCCCCAACAGTGCAGGCTTCGCGTTCGGTTAATAAGAAGTTATTAAACTTTAGTATATAAAAATTAACGTTGCCTTTTATTTAATTGTGGGATCCATATCGTCTTTATTCCGAAGTTTTATAATTTTCAAGCATCTTTACAAAGATTGAAAAATCACTATCCGGTGGATAGCGCCTCGGTAGGATTTTATTTCAGAAATTTATCTGCTACCGCTGGATTTACCAATACCGATACTAACAACAGGTCATGCGCATGCGCTCTGCTCGCAAGAAGCACGAGGACAAGTGTATTGGAAGTCACCACTACCGAAGTCGGCCTTGTATTGGAAGTCGTGGGAATTGTAAGATAAACTCATATAAATCGGATATTTCATAATTTTTTCGATAAATACGTAAACTATTTGCTTATTAGCATCGCCTGAGTCATGTTTTAGTCGGAATTTTTGCTCAGCTGCCGTTTAGTATACCACAAATATTCGGTGACAATTAATGTGTTCTATACTTTATCTGTCGTGATAACTTAACGCTTTAAAATTCCCGGTATACCAAAATGAGAACGAAAGTGAAGACATTGGTATCGATATTGGAAGTCGAACTTAATGACTAGCTGACCACGGTTAAAGTTTGTAATTACGCCTTTCGTCCAACCGGCCGCAGATCTTTATAGATTAATGGACGACTTACGCTTTAGACTAAATTTTAATCTAAGTACGAACAACGAAATCTTTCACCACAGCTAGAGAGAGCGTCTTGGAATTAGTAATATTACAAAGTTTGGTTGCGAAATGTTGTAAAATACGGAAAATATAGCCCTTCAAAGTTGGCAAATTTGTATACTTTTGTATTACGTGCGTGAATTGGTAACTAAATTAGTCACCAATTTCCGCACGTAATAGAAATGTATACAAATTTGCCAACTTCGCAGGGCTATATTTTCCGTATTTTACAACATTTCGCAACCAAACTTTGCAGTTTTTCTAATTTTGATAACTTCTTTCCAAAAATATCCTTTGTTATTCCCAGATTAAAAATTTTTCTAAAGCGCAAGTCGTCCATTCGTTTTACATAATCATCGTATATACATGCAGTATTTCAGTTGTTGATAATTCGCTAATCTTGTTTTCGCGCTTAGTTGTCTATTTTACCGTAATTAGTTTTAATGTTTCAGTACCGTCTGTCTCGTCCCCGGTCCAGTCGTTTTATGTGAATTCAGGGGCGGGGGAGGTGCGTGCCTTCCCATCATGCATCACAACCGATCTTTTTACCAACTACTGATCAATATATATGGCATTGATTAGCAGTGTCCTATTAATTGGGCGTAAGATTTAAGTGTTAAGGCATTCCGTCTTTGTGAAAGCTGTAATACTCATGTAAAAGTCAGAAAATGATGTTTTATTTTATAGCACTTTCCCTTAGTTGTTTCATCCACACTGAAAGTGAATGAATTCTTCGAAATACCTCCAGTACCAATAGAAATAACTAAGGAAAGTGGAGACAGTGTTACCATTCAACCACCAAGTTCGTGGATTGGTTTGGCACCAGTCAATGTTCATCTGTTATCATATCTACTAAGAGCGGGGCAGGTGAGCAGGTTTTTATAAATGTTTTCCTTTTTGATATAGGCAGGCTTTTAGCCAGGGTTCTAAAAGAGGGCATCCAATTTTGGTATAACGATACATCTACAGTAAAGAGGGGGTTCGAGAAAACGTTCCTCTGGAAAACCTTTGAAGTTTACGTTACTTCATGTCAGTATCTGTTCCAAGCTTGTTCGAAATTTTTCAAACACACTTGGCTTTGTGAGTTTGTGCCGCTATGCTTCTTTACTTAATTGTGACATTTTCATTCAGCCAGGTACACTATCAAATTGATCAAAATGTCAAATGTATAATAATAATAATTGAAGCTATTTCGTTTCAGATATATTAATATACTTCTAGGGAAATAATTGAAAATAATTTCCCTTTTTCCCTAGAATTTGGGCGTCCAAAGACGTCCATTTTTCGTTCTAGGGGCGTCCCAGGACGCCCTTCTGGCTAAAAGCCTGGATATAGGGCATGCAGCTTCCAGATCAAAACAATCCTTGCATTCAAATTTTAGCTGCTCAGTTTCGGGAGTGAACGTGGAATAGTTGGGACTCCATAAATTTATCTTCATTGCTCATTTTGAATATTTCTAAATTCGTGGAGATATTCATTCATTTTTTTTTCATTTGGTATTCATTTTTCTATATACCATATTTTTGACGCCGTAGATCGAGGTCTGATACTGGATCCAAGTGTGATAGGGATGGGTACATACAAGATCGACCCCGACCTTAAGCCTGACCAGCCCTCATCCTTCCTGGCTAATCAGGCTACGTTTTTGCAGAAAGTGAATTTTTACACGTATTTGGTACAGCCAGGATTGACAATTTAATTATGTGGGAGCGCAAGAGCTTTATAGAGAGCTTTATATAGCGCAAGATACGCAACACTGTCTGATGACAATTTTTAACCCCAATTGTTCATCGCATCACGAATCTAAAACAATACACTCTGAAAACACGGGGGAGGGGGGGGGGGGGCGGCCCTCCTTGGCTGCGCCACTGTTTACACGGGGAATCGTCGTTGCCAAGTTGGATTATTAAACAGGGTGGACCCCTCAACTATTTGACTAGCGAGGATTTTCTTCAAGTCTATTGAAATTTACTTGGTATAATTTTAGCATGTTTGACGAACAAGGAAAATAGTTGTGTCAGACCAATAGTTTGCACATTATTAGCATTCGGTGTCGGCCTGTATCCACTTAAACAGCAAACATGGAACATTAAAGAATAAAGTGATGAACACCAAACAGTAAACAACCAACATTTGGAATTAGCATGTAAACGCCAGATAAACAGAATGGAAAGAAAATACAAATGGTATGCAAACAGCAAGTGTCACTTGACCATATATTTATTAATTTCCAGACTCGTGATAAAGATGGTAATGTACGGCATAATTCTCACGCTAAACCTAAAGCAGATGGTCTCGTTATTCATATACATGGTGGAGGATTTGTTGCGCAATCATCAAAATCCCATGAAGTAGGTATATTACGGTAACTCGACTGTGGTTGCTAGAGATTACAATTAAGTCAAAACGGCAATAAAAAGAGTACACTTTTGATATAAAAAAATGGACGTATGAACTAAAACAAGTGTGTCATATATTATTGGCACTGCTGAAGATCCGGGCTTACGGTTACGGATCGAAAGCTTTACAATTAATGCATGTATAGTGTTTCCACAAACCAAAACTCATATTATGGCTATAAATATTGTTTCACGTGACTATCTTTAGAGCTTAAATAATTACTATATAAAAGCAGCGGTGTTTGTTTTCTATTTTCCTATTAACTCTCCTATATTTTGCTGTTTTAAACTGAATGGCTGACATGCTAAAGACCCAATGGTCTGTCTATATATTTGTACCGCGGCCGACGCTTACCTCTTCGGTGAAAGATGTTTGCGTCAATATTACAATTAATCGTGTTTCCCCTGAAGTTACAATCCTTGAACACTGTAGACTATACTGTATTTCTATTTCAGATCTACCTGAGAAGTTGGGCAAAATCACTCAATGTCCCAATACTGTCAATCAACTATGCCCTCGCTCCTGAACTGCCCTTTCCTCGGGCTATGGAGGAATGCCTGTTTGCATACATCTGGGCCCTCCAGAACTTCGACAGACTGGGCACCACGGGGAAACATATCGCATTAGTTGGGGATTCCGCTGGTACGTCAGTGTATAATAATTTATGACTATTGATATACTGTATATGAGGTTTATGCATGAGCCCACGGCAGACTATATAGAATCGAAACATGAGATAATCTAAAACGTTGGGGGGCCCGCGTTGACCGTATAAAGCTTTCAATTTGTTATATTTCACGAAAACCAAAATTGGAAACAGAACAAACTACTTCTCGACGTTTCGAGCAAAGGCCTTTCGTCACGCAGGAGACTTATAGGCGAAGGACCTTTGCTCGAAACGTTGCATGATATATATGAAATAGAACCAAAATGCTTTATATTTCTTTGAGAGATCCCAACAGTGAGTTTCAGTGTACCATATAGTGTACACAGTATTTAACAATAAGCTGCGGTGGTTTGTTTCGCCACTAACCTTAATCTGACGAAAGGCCTTCGCTTAAAACGTCTTTATAGTGTTGTTAATCTTGTTTCCAGTTAGTTTAGCCATTCACCACGGTACTAGCTGGTACTAACTGGCTGTAAATTACTTGTGAGTCAGAGAAGCATTGGAGGTTAAGAATATACAATTACTATATGGTTTCCGTGTTTGGATGGCCTGATCCAAACACTTGGGAATGTTGCTCGAGTTAAGAAAAGCGCGGGAAACACGAGCCGAAGGCGAGTGATTTTCCGCGCTTTTCTTAACTCGAGCAACATTCCCAAGCGTTTGGTTCAGGCCATCCAAACACGGAAACCATAAAGTAATTGTTTTATAAAATAACAACGACGATAGTCTTGCAAGTTTTATTTAAAAAAGCGCAAGTATAAAAGCTAAATTCTCCCAAGTTGCAATGCTAAATTCTCCCAAGTTCGCGAGAAAGCGAACGAAGCTATATAATTTTGTAAACAATCAGGTCAATCAACCGTGAAACACTACAACGTAGATTTACAACGAAGTTTTTGTCTTTAAAAGTTAACAAAATTACAAATGTTGATTACATGTTTAAAATTCCCGCGAATTAAGGCACTTTAAATTTCCGTGTTTGGATGGCCTGATCCAAACACAGGTTTCGACCAATCAGAGCACGCGTTATATACATGTTATTTTATAACTGACTGCCACTACTGCTTCCACTGCCATGTGTGTTTAATGTACCCGATTAACGAATCAGATACGTACTGAACCAGTGAGAGGTATAGTCGTAGTGGAAATCAAATCTGAACCTCTTGATTGTTTTACGAGACAACAGTTGCACTGTCTTGCAGAACAGAAATGTTTCTGAATTTGTTGGGAACATTTACTTTTCCCAATATAAGCAAATTTTGTTGCAACAACATTTCTGAGGGCGATCCGTTTAGTACGAAAACAGGGATTCCTTTATAACAAAGTATGTTCTTTCCATAATATAGGCGGAAACCTCAGCGTATCTCTTTGTTTAAAAGCAGCTTCTTATGGCGTTCGTCTTCCGGATGGCATTTTAACATCATATGCTCCATTTAATGTCCAGTTCCGGCCTTCACCGTCACGTCTTCTTACCCTCTTGGATCCCTTGTTACCAGTTGGTATCCTAACCCAATGTCTTGCGGCGTACACAGGCACTACTGCAAAGGGCAATGAAGGTGTTTTGGAGAAAAAACAATCCGGCGCCAAAAGTGTTTCTGAAAAAGCTGATCACCTTTCACCCAAAGATGACTGCTGTTTGGCGGATGATAGGCTGTTGCCAGATGTAGTTAAGGACAGTCATTCTGGTAGCGCACAAATACCGCATGCCTCGAGCGAGTTCGATTTGGTTCATTCACAAATGAACAACTTGCGTCCAACTCGGTCACAATCCGATAGTGATCTGCTTAACGGCAGTAACGTAAACACAGACGAGAACGAGCTTCATGATGTTAGTTCTTGTGGACTTCTAATTGATGAACATCTCATCACAATGACTAAGAATCCTTATATCTCGCCCTTGGTGGCATCTAATGAACAGTTGGCTAAGTTACCTCCCATTGACTTACTCGTAAGTTAAATAATGTGTTAGCATTGTTATAGTGTAGTTACATGGTTAATCAGTCATTATTCAACCACTTGTGTCCGCCACTAATTGCTGCAATTTAGTTGCCAAACGTTTTTGGATCAAACCAAAATAATACAAACCACAATCAGTGAGATACTTAGATTTAAAGTTCATTTTTACAAATAATTGTGCAAATTAACATGGGACACTCCTCCCCCATTTCAATGTTGTTGTATACGCTTTGGAGAGTTATCAACAAATCAACTGAACACAAAACCACTTACATAAAATGTCAATTTTAGTCTAACAACATTGAAGGGGGTCATGTTTCTGTCTCAGCCTAACCGGTCCACGAATTTTCTCACTGATTGTAGTTAGTTAGTTCGTCATCTTTCACTATAAGATTTAACGATAATACTGTGAGCGGCCACTCTTCGGCCATTCCCCACTACTTTTCTCCACCGAACTCAAACTCTATTATTACATACACTATGACACTATGTTGAAATTTGTTGTTTAGGCATGTACCATGGACCCTTTACTTGATGACTCCATTGAGTTCGCCAAACGACTTCGTGGTGTAGGAAACAAAGTTGAACTGTACATTGTAGATGATCTGCCACATGGCTTTCTCAGTTTTTACATGGTCTGTCAAGAGGGTAGGGAGGCGAACGAGCTGTGTATTGCTTGCATCAAAAAAATATTACTGGGCAAACGAAATGTCACCGAATCGTCGACACCTCCAATTTATTAGCAAATATAGGAAGAATATTTATAATACTAAATATGTTTAATATTCAATGTATAGGAAGAATATTAAATATAATATATATATACATATATATATATACAACTGTATTTAATTAATTTTTTAAATTTTCATACACTAGATAATATTGCTGTATTATTATTTATTAGTACATACATACAGGGCTATTTCCAGTTAATTCATTTCAACAGCACTAAAATTAAATATTAATTGTTACTTTGTTCTCTTGTCTTGTAGTTACCTGCGTGGCAGGCTCCCTCGTTGCCAAAATTCGTTGAAATGGGTTGTTCTTTTTCCTATCTCTGTATTAGTTTCGGTGTTAGTATTAGTTATTATCTCTGTATTAGTTAATTGTGCAAAATCACTGTGTGCAGATAGGTGGATTTGAAGGTGCCCTACATAAATTTTATAATAATCTTCTCATTTTGCGAAAGCCACTATATTCATAAAGTTTGTCCAAATGTGGTCAACTTTCCGCCCGCATTTGTATGAGGCAGATATCGAAAAGTGTTATATTACAATTAAGCTGGATGGGATGGAAGGCGGCATTTGACTGCCAGATGCATGACTGAAATGTCAAATGGGGATTAAAAGAACTAAAATGTTGTTGATGAAATCCTTATGAAAAGGCTTTTTATCGCTTCCGCGGTAGCAAGCAATGCATAACTTAAACTTTAGCGGCAATTTATCAGCCTGATGAGCTCCGTTTTCTGTGCGAAGGACTGCAAGCAAAAGATCAATAACAGTACACCGTTCTGGATAAAATAATGGCAATGTGCAGGAGCACGATGCCGATTTAATGATTAACACAAAAATATCAAATTACAAATGAATGTTTCTAATTTAGTATTCATGCATAGCACAGAAAAGGTGGGGTGTTAAAAAACGCCCCATATACAAAAACCGCCAGTAACGTGTATCGTAGGACGCAAAATGAGGCAAGGGAGGGAAAGGAAAACTTGTTGAGGACTTGAAAACTTGCCTTGCGAAGCCAAAGGTGAATGACCTTGAGCTGTTAACCCTCAACGTTTTTATATAGTAGGCCCAAGATGCACGTGAAGCGACATGGAAATTCACTGATGTGTTGCAAAATTCCACGGGAAATAAAACTGGTTGAACGAGTTTCCCTGCCAGGTTCCCTCCATAACCCCATTCCGCGTGCTACCCCGAATCCCTAAATATCCCAACAAAATTCCCACGGAAGTAATAAATGGATTATTCGCTGAAGCAAATAACTCCTTTATTAATTTTAAAAGGAAACGGCAATATATAAAATCAGTTTTCTTATTTGAATAATGAACTTTTACTGACTTTATATGTGGAAACGTTTTTTACGAAGTCGGCTATTTTGCGAGCTGCGAGTTGGCTGTCGAAAACCGTCAGAAAGATTTGGAACGAAATCCTAATAATGAGCTGTCCGCCATGTCGGATAGTTGTAGATGCATGTTCCGAAATCTTTTATCTTGAGAGCCACTGATCATTATATGAGACTAAAATTATGCCTTGTTTACTATTTCAAATAACAACTTGACTGACAACATTTTAAAAATATACTTATGCTACTTGGTAACCTATGGGGTACAGTAGTTTTAATTAAACGCCTACTCCTGCTTCGATGTCACCAAAGCCACGGTTAAGGCTAATTTCTACTCAGGAAAATTATCCGTGGATTGGAATGGACAAGAAAATTTTTCTTTGTGTTAAAGTCATTAGTTCCAACCCAGAGCTCACAAGACAAAGAAAAATTTACTTGTCCGTTCCAATCCACGGATAATTTTCCTGAGTGGAAATTAGCCTTTAGTGATGTCACAATCCAAGAATGGAGGAGAACATGTTTTCAGCCGAGCAAGATATGAAATATCGGTATAGGAGTTTATATGTAAAGCCAAAACAAAATATGTGAGTTCCCGGTTTCCCGACCCTACCTAGCTTTTGGACGTCGAAATCCAGACCCTAAACTTTTTTTATTGGATCATGCTTGTAAGTAACTGTAATCAGTTCTTTGAATTCAAAATAACACCATTTTCCTGAATGATAAACCGCGGTCCGCGATGTATTTCCATATATCAAAAGCATTCCCTGTCTCGAGGGGTATGGGCTCTAATTCAATATTGCGACAATTCACCTTCAGCCACTCCATGTTTTGCAAATATCAGCTGGCGTTAATAAATGGTGTCTCCCAGAAACAATCGTCGTGTTGCTCAACGTAATACTGAAATCGTCTGCATTTTCCGCACGTCTTGATGCCACAGCGATA